CCTGCGAGGACCCCTCTCCTGTATTCATCCTTCAGAAGCACATCATACATTTATTTACGCATCTTTCTGTTCTACGAGCAGCTGGCATTGTTCGCCTCATTGAATTACCGGAAGCATGTGCTACTGGTTATCACGCCCGTCGATCGTCCTGCTTTATGTTGTCGGATGCACGTCGTGGATGCTCTGGATGTGCATTGTTTATTGCTAATATCGTCAGCAAAGCGACAGATTCATTGTAACCCTTTAACTAATAAGCCTCTATTAAACTATCTTTTTGATGTAACATGCTGTTATGAATACTAAGAGGGGATAAACGACGATTAAACTATACAGGATGTCCTCGTATAAGTGTCTTGTAACAGAGATGGATCTAATAAATATGTTTTTAAATTAAACGACTTTAACTAAACTTTACTGTAAGCACAGTGGCTACTGAAAAAAATTATTTATGTTAGAAAACGGAGAGATGTGCATAACTTTTGCACAATAAATAAATATTTCGATAAAATAAAGGTGGGCAGTGTCTGTTTTAATGAGTACAACGATATAACAAAATTATTTAATAAATTATATAAGTTATTTTGATTTAAAGTTTTGCGAGTGTCTACTATCTTTTTTCGACCCTGCGATGTAGCCAACTTCCGACTCTCGCATTGTGATTCATGTGATAACATGAGATTTGTTTGCATCGCATGCTCCAACTTTCAATATGATCCAACATACTCTTATCGTAGCTCCCACTCAACGAGCGCATTGAAAAAAATAGAAGCTATGACAGGAGTGTATTGAAGAATACGAATGAAGAATGCGAATAAACCTGTCATCATCAGGGCCGAAATTAAAAAATAGTAATTGCCCACAAAATTTTAACCCAAAATATCTTATATAATTTCTAAAATATATAGTTTTGTTATATCACATATTGTTGTATTCGTTGGAACAGATACTACAATTTTATTATATCAAGTATTTACTTTATTGTGCAAAAATTATTATGCAAATCTCTCTATTCTATAACATAAATAATTTTTTTCAATAGTCACTTTGCTTATAATAAAGTTTGATTAGAGCCATTTAATTTGAGACCATATTTATCCAGTCTATTTTTGTTAGTTTGCGAGATAAAAAGAACTACTTATACGGGGACATTTTGTATAATACATTGAAAAAGATTATAAATAGTTAATGCAAAGAAGTTTATTACAACTAAAGAGCATAAAAATGAGAATTAACCATTTTTTATTTAATCTGTTCCGAAAAGTACAAAGTTATGTTACTTTATACTACTTATTATTAATCTTTAAAAAAATGTACATAGAATATTTTATATTTGATAAATTCGTAAAATTCTTCTCCTCTTATTTAAATTTTTGTTTTTTTCTGATAAAAATAGTGATTCTAAGCATGGCGTCGAATTCTAAGTCCTTTCCAAGATCATTCAATCCTTGACGACAACGTTTCATCAACAATCGTCGTAGCTCCGTAGCTTTTGTCCCTCGCGAAAAGTTGAAGAAATTCGGACGCACTTGTCGGAAATCCGGGGTGTGCACTCTTCGGGACGTGGTGCTAAATTCGATTACTTTCATTGTTGAGATAACTCAGTTATCCCTCCGAGCTGACTAACGTAAAGAGGCGACTGTCCGGGGTCACGTACCTTCTTCTTATCCCTCTTAATCTCGTCCAATTCAACGACAGTCCCTACCATTTCGTTATCAAACCTTAAAGGAGTCCTATTTTCCTTCCCTTGTTATACACAGCATGGATGAAACCTCTGTGATTTAAAACCGAAAATCTTTACGCAGTCCAAGTTAAATCCCTAACATCATCATAATCCTTTTTTTTTTTCTTAACTATCTGCGAGGTAAAAGATTTTAAATATTTTAAGACAAGTAAGTTTCCGGGAAAAAATCCGTTTTTTTTTTGTATCCTTGAAAATTTGCTAACGAAGCCGATCTATGAGAAATTTTTTAAATGATTCAAATTAATGATTAGACATTATACTATATCATAAAAATATCGAATCTTTTACAGCCAGCGTTGAATCTCTGACTCGTTTTATTTTTAGGAGTGCGTTGGTGTCATTGCACAAGTTTAGTAATGTATACATGTTATAGCGTCCAAATTTATATGTATATTTAAAATATAAAATTATACTTTTATACATACATACACATGTATTTGTGTATGTATAT